CAAGTCGGCTGCGGCCGGCGGTGAAAACAAACGAACTTGAACGTTTCCCGCTACGTTACCATACCATCACGTAGTACACGGCATAAATCTAGTTTTTAACTAATTTTAAATTTAGTTTGGTAACGACGAACTGTCATATACTACATGTTCACTGTGGTACCGGCCGTGCGTAGAAGGGGTGCGTACTTAATTGGAGTTTTTCCATTTTACGTTTCAGACGGGAATATTTGTCTCCCACCAGCCCCAAATCGGGGGTGCGTACTTTAATCGGGAATTTACGGAGGGAGAAAGAGACATGGACTGGAAAAATGGGGGGAGGGCCACCGAAAAATTTTTTGGGGTGGGGGAGGGCCATTGAAAAAAATTTTCAGCCGGGGGGAGGGCCATGGAAAAAAATTTTGAGCCGGGGGGAGGGCCATGGAAAAAATTTTTTACCGGACCATTTTGCACCAGCCCTCCCCCCGGTAAATATCGTACAGTCCCTTAGTAATGACTGCACACTGAATCTGGTGAAACATTGTCAAAGAAAGTCTAAATGACTGCATAATTTATCAAACCCTGCATACCTTAAGGATTGTCATAAAAACTACAAATATCTACCTGCAAATATATATTAGAAATACATAATTAAAAAATGTGTACCTGTACTGCAAGCGAGAGGCCCTCCCGCAAAAACCAGTTGAAGGATTCAACGTGGGGTCTGACCAGGTCTTGGAGAGGCTGTTGATGATATGAAGAATGCAAACACAGTTAAGCTTACATAAATTTCTGCAGAACTTTTTTCATCTCTCATTTCTTGTACAGAAATTTGTATACATAATTATATTAAACTTGATACTTAAACAGTTCACAGGAATTTTTGGTTTGTTCTAAAAAATATCTATGAATCTTTCTTGATGAAATTCTTTCACAACGCATTATATCTCTTCGGTAAGATAAAACAAGCTGTTTTCTTTCTTCTAAAGTCGAGGCTACAAGCATGCATGCGCTTGCGAAAAGCACGATGGGGGAGGGGGGCAATGAAAACCGATATTTTTCTACCTCTCACACATTAAAAAACGACCTGTTAGCCAAGAGACCTACAAACAGTACAGCGTCACATGTCTGTGTAAAGCTCCTACCCTGTGTTGTGCTTTTTCCGGCCTCCCGTAGCCAGGTTTGGTCAGATTTCTCAGGCTCGGCACATTTTCTGTTTCCGAAGCCGCCATCTTGGACCATGTGGGATAGTAACCTTTGACCCTAGTTATTGAAATTGACAGCAACAACCTGGTTTAACAATACAAAATCTTCATTAAACAGCGCCTAAACTAGTCATTGAACACATTTTATGAAAAATACCAGTATACGACCGTTGTAGTGATTTTATTAGCCTTGTAACGGAAGTATCAAAGTTGATTTGGCGTTTTAAAAGACTTCAGGTCATAGGTCACGTCACAGGTGGGAGGCTGTTTGGCAGATCGTGGGAGGGACCAGAGGGGGTTATAGCCGCTCGTCAAGACGGATTTTTGACGACTTCGTGCGCGGAATGGACACAACGTGAGGCGCAGTGAAAGAACAGGTATGTTGTTGACATAGTACTCTAACGGTTTGTACAGAAATATCGGCGAGATCGCGTCTCTAGGCTGAATATTTGCTAGATGTTTATGTTACGCGTACGGTCGAGCGATCGCGCTAGCCGCTCACCGGAAGATGATGTGTAGCGGTGCGGTCTACAGCGCACGCACTCGGTAAACGTGCATCTAATTCTACTGGACAGCAGTTTTTTTATCAGTCCATATCCCATGGCTGTTTATCCGCCGCTTGGTCCAGTACTAAAATTTCAAGTAATAACAGTTTAGGTCAGACGCATAACTAGGTTTTGGGCCGCCGCACACCAAGGCGTAGTGCAGTTGTTTTTGTAAGAGGGTCTGCATGGGGGGATCCCAGTGGTAACCGTAAATTTAGGAGAAAGTATTTACAGCAAATATTCAACAATAAACCCTTAATTCATTTGTTCAACACATTGAAGATAATATATACATATAATAATTGATATCACAATCATAATTTGTCATATATGATATTAGAGATTTTTCAAAAGCTTTTGAGATCATTGGAAGACCTTGTACAGTAGATCATTAAGTGCTTGCGGAAAGACTGCCGAAAGATCAGTCACCCCCACTTTGTACCTGTACAATGTCCAAAGTGTTTGCTTAGTCTTTGTTTGCACTTCCTAACATTTGCTCAGTGAATGTTGGTATTCGCCACTTCATTGTGCTTGATCTGATTGTTATTTCATCACCTGAATGGATTGTTTGTACAGTATGTACTCAGTGTTTTCACGGCCTTTACTCCAGACACTCATCGACTCCACGGTGAGACAAATCAAATTGTCTCTTCATGTCTTCTTAATTAAATCATGGAGAGGTTATTTTATTATAGTAATCGCAAAGAAAAAGAAGAAGAAGATGAGTTGGCTGATTGGCCAATAGCTGTTAATAGTATATTTTGCAGTATTTCTAGTCTTAGCAATGAAATCTACCCTTGATTGATGGTCTTTTTAGTCTGATTAATTGTCTTACTTGCCTTGTGCCCTCCTCTTACCGTCTTAGTACTGTATCAGGAGATAAAGGGCTGAACAAGGCTTTACCCAAGCAATCTTTCATCTTGTATAAACATGTAATAAAGATAATTCTAAATGCAAAACAGTCATTCCTACATACACTCAGACAGTGTATATAGGAATTAGATCATTGCACAGACAAAATGCAGCGTTAGTGGGTATGCACACGCAATTGTAGCCCGTGTGCCAATTTGCAACTAAAATTGGGGCTGTATTCACTTGAATGAGGAAGGCACTACACACAGTTATCCCACATTTGATGAAATATATAATTTATATGTACCATCCTTTCATTCCGTCTTTGTGTCCCATTCTGCTCCCTGTTGCTATATTTGTCATGATATATCACATCAGGTATCTGTTGGCAGGCCCAACAATAGCCAACAGATTGCTTTTGGAGAAAGAGTATGATATACTAGTACTCAATATATGTCTGAGTCTGCTTCAGAATCAGACAACTCAATTAAGTAGAAACATCAATGATTCAAATGCAAAACATTCCAAATATTGCCTTCTGAAGTTCAATCCTTAGTGGTGTCTAGTACAACTTGATTTATAATTCATAGGGACATCTGCTTAGCAACTAACGTGTCTCGAGTCATAATTTGCTTTAATTTTACATTGTACGTTCAGAATTGTAGAATGTGAACAAGATAGATAAAGAAAAATTAGAAGTTAAAGAAGAGCTACAATAGTACATGTATTTTATTAAGGAAGGGAGAATGTTAAACAATTGAAATAGTACTGCATAGGACTTAAAATATTGGTATTGTCTCAATCTTCCAAGTCAGTTGAGGCACATTCATGTAAGTGCGTAGAGACAGTTTTTTTACTAGTTACATCCGTGCATCCTGCATGTGTGTAACTTGAGCTATTTCCAGAACAGAACGACCAAGTTTGCCAAAACAAAACCCTTGACACAATGCTTATGTGTAGCCTTCAGTATAAATGGCCACATTAGGTAACTGTTATGTCAAGGCTCTCAATTCCTTGGCTTAAATGCACCTCAATTTAGCTTGGGTGATTGAGGCAATACCAATATATAACTTATAAGTGAAAGGGAGTACATGTACTACTATTGTGACAATGCAAGCTCTCAAGCAAAAAAAAAAAAAAAACACTTACTCAAACTCTCAACATCTCAAAATTTGAAAACTTTCCCTCCCGATAAAGAAATATAAAAGTAAGTAAGAAAGAAAGAAAAACTTTGGTTGTTTGATCTTTCATGACTTCACTTTCTGTTATATATTTTAAGGCAATTTGAAACATATGGACCAGATACCATGGCAGCAGGTGTTCTTAAGACTTTAATGCAATACTTGTCCTTAGGGTGGCTTAAGAAGACACACACAGGCATCTTATTTGTCTTCATTACAGGAAGCTAGGGGACTTAAGACTTAGAACAGATTGATCAGGTCTTGAAAGTATTTCAGTTGATTTATTTCTCTCACAGTGTGTCTTAGTCTCCAGTGAATTGATTATGTCTCAGAGTCTTTCTGTAAAACATAAGAAATACTTCTTGAGTGCCTGAAAGAAATATTGGTAGTCTTAAAAGTTAAAGGTGAGTATAGTCTTCTGGAGCTATCTCTCTACCTGACAAGTTTTGACATATGAGCCAAGTGTGTCTACTGAGGTTGAAAATTGGGTAGGGGAAGAAGTGCAAAGTCATGTCAAAGTTCAGGCTCATAGTGGGTACCGGCAACTGATCCCAGATGTTCCCAGGATAAACTGGTTACAGGTGCAGGTGTAGTAGCCAGTGTTGCCACAGGCGGTTGGCAGAGGGGTTGCTGTTGAATTGAAAGCAAGTTCTGAGCAGTTCTGATGGGTGCCGCATTCACCCGAAAATCGGGTTCCGAAGGGCAAGCAAGAAAAGTTGAAAGAAATGGCTATGGTAGGAGCGGAAAGAGGAATTTCACTGCAGTTGAAACAAGAGTTCCACGATCTCATACCTTCGCCAAATGATGTTAACCCTTGCGGGTGACGAATTATACAATTTTAATCATTGATTTTGTAAATAAGAGCCTCATTTGCATGGATTATATCAGTTGATCATATTCTCCATCCAATGACAGCCTTATCATAACAAAAAGGCTATCATAGCACTTCCTCATAAATTATGCAAATGAGGTCATGATTTGAATAAATTATGTGTATTGATGTTCACCTTCACTTAACTTCCAAATGGGGCAAGTATGAAATTCGGGGTGCAGCAGTTATAACTATGGAATTATAAGAATTTGACATTAATTATGCAAATTAGGTCGTCATTTACATAATCTATATCCTCAGATGTTTTTCTCGTTCTCAAGTAGATGTCAGAAGTGTTTCATAGTTCTATTATCGAACAAAGCAGATTTATAGAATTTCCTCATTGATTATGCAAATTAGCTCCTGATTTGCATAATTGCCATCTGATTATGTAAAGCATCACTTCAACTACCTACATACCAAAAATCACGACAATACATCAACCGGTTCTTGAGTTATCGTCCTTCAAATTTTTTTCAAGAAATGCTCCTGCAGTTCCAGAACAAGGCGCTAGGGGACCCAAACTCATGTCACTTTTTCCCTACCCCAAGAGCTATCTACCATCCAAAATTCGTGACCCTAGCATGTCCAGAACATGAGATATCAAAACCGGAAGTTCAGCTGCAGTACCTAGGAAAGCCGCCAGGGGGCCCGAAAATCTAATCATTTCTAGGTCTCATGAAGACCTACCGACCTACCAAGTTTCATTCCAATCCATCCACTGCTTCTCGAGTTATCTTGCTAAACCACACACACACAAACACACCCACCCACACACACACAGACAAACGCTACTGAAAACATAACCTTCTTGGCGAAGGTAACAATTATGCCTATGCAGGTACATGATTTCATTCTGGAGACTCCTTAGCTTTCAAACATGCACCCTGAAAATAAATCCACTGCCAAAATGTCAAGATTTACAGTATTCCATAACAGGGTATTCCCCTTTTAAAACACAAAATACTGGTGTCAGAAACAAATATTTGCTCAGTAAACTATGAATTTTTGAGGGGCTTTTATTTAATTCTGGTTTGGATGACTGGAACGTCTTTTGAATAGCAATTGAAAGTACCGGTATGACTTTTTAAAACACGAAATACTGGTGTCAGAAACAAATATTTTCTCAGTATTAAACCATGAATTTTTGAGGGGCTTTATTTCATTCTAGGTTGGATGACTGGAACGTCTTTTGAATAGCAATTGAAAGTACCGGTATGACGTGTTTTAGCCCACAAGTTGGACCAGTGCACTGATCCATGAAACAAGTGACCTGACCCTGCAGATCTTGAAGGAGCAGGCACGGGTCAAAGATCAAGGCAAGAAAATAAACAGCTTGAATGAATTATGAAAGGACTGAGAAATATGGAGCCGCCAATTATTGCAATACATTATTTTTCAAAACTGAAAACATCAAATTACCTTTTTCAGAGCCATTTAATTCTGCACTACAGACAGGATAAATGCATACGATGTACAATGAATTGCACAATTGGGTAAAAAAAAGTCCCTTCTATCAATTCAATTTATAGATTAACTGCTCATAACCTTTTAAAGTAAAATTCAGTTTTGTTTCAAGGTGTGTTTTAAAAGCACTTGAACACACAGGATTGCATGCCTTCCCCCCTTATAGGGAGGTGGACTGGATTCAGGGATAATTTCAGATGCTGACCCCAATAACTCATGTCACTCATGTCTGCCACTGATGCCTGTACTGTAGTCATGGGTGCAGTGTTGTGTGGTCCATGGTACCATTCATGAGGGTCTGCATGGGGGGGTCCTGGCAACGGTTAACGGTAAATTCAGCAGGGCCGATAACGCTTAACGGTAAATTCAGGACGGTCGGCAACGCTTAACGGTAAATTGACAGGCTTTTTTTTCGAGAAAAGGTGATCACTGACAAAATTACATATACCTTACATGTAATG